ATGGAGGGCTGATGGAATCCGAGGCAATTCCTCTTAAAGGGCCCACACATGGACTTAATTGGACTCACTTGCTTTGAGCCCCAATGCTGGCATAGTGGCTCAAAAGGCACCAGGGACATACAGGAACTGAATTGTCCTGCATCAAGCAAGAGCCTGGGGCAGCTTTCTCCCAGACAGAAGCACTGGCAGAGGCCATTGTTCCTTTTCTGAGCCCTTACCCACAGAGCTGGCAGGTGGGCACCATATTTGAGACTCCATCAACCTGGCTCACACAACCTGGCCCCATCCTGGTGATTCCTTGAGGAATCTAAAAAACAAAATAAACAAACAAGCAGAACAGAAACAAACTCATAGATACAAAGAACATTTTGATGGTTGTCAGATGGGTTGGGAATAAGAAGTACAAATTGCCCTGACCAGTTTGGCTCAGTGGCTAGAGCAGTGATAGCGAACCTATGACACGCGTGTCAGAGGTGACACGCAAACTCATTTTTTTGGTTGATTTTTCTTTGTTAAATGGCATTGAAATATATAAAATAAATATCAAAAATATAAATGTTTTACTATGGTTGCAAACATCAAAAAATTTCTATATGTGACATGGCACCAGAGTTAAGTTAGGGTTTTTCAAAATGCTGACACGCCAAGCTCAAAAGGTTCACCATCACTGATTAGAGCTTCGGCCTGTGGACTGAAGAGCCCCAGGTTCAATTCCGGTCAAGGGCATGTACCTTGGTTGTGGGCACATCCCCAGTAGAGGGTGTGCAGGAGGCAGCTGATGGATGTTTCTCTCTCATGGATGTTTCTAACTCTCTATCCCTCTCCCTTCCTCTCTGTAAAAAAATCAATAAAATATATTTTTAAAAAAAGAAGAAGTACAAATTGATTGTTACAGAATAGTCATGGGGATGTAAAGTACAACATAGGAAATATCTATATATATAAAAGCCTAAGCAACCGTTTGACTGGTAGCTATGACACGCACTGACCACCAGGGGGCAGAAGCTCAGCGCACAGGCTTGGAAACATGGAACAGACTGATGAATCTCAGAGGGAAGGGAGTGGGGAAGGACAGGAAGAGATTAACCAAGGATCTCATATGCATACTAGAGGCCCAGTGCACAGACTCGTGCACTGGTGGGGTCCCTCGGCTGGCCTGCAGGGATTGAGCTGAAACAGACAGTCTGACATCCCCTGAGGGGGTCCTGGATTGCGAGAGGGCACAGGCCAGGCCAAGGAACCCCACCAGTGCACGAATCCATGCACCAGGCCTCTAGCAGTCAATAATATTCTAATAACTATGTATGGTATCAGATGGGTGTGAGATTTATTGGGATGATCACTTAGTAATGTATGTAATGTTTAATCATTGGAGTGTACACCTGAAACTAATTTAATAATGTATATCAACTGTAATTGATAAATAAAAAATGAGCCTGACTGGTGTGGCTCAGTGGGTGAGTGTCAACCTGTGAACCAGGAGGTCACGTTTTGATTCTGATCAGGGCACATGCCCAGGTTATGAGCTCAATCCCCAGTGAGGGGTGTGCAGGAAGCAGCTGATCAATGATTCTCTATCATCATTGATGCTTCTATCTCTCTCTCCCTTTCCCTTCCTCTCTGAAATCAATAAAAATATATTTTTTTAAAGATAAAAAGGGAAAATATATCTGGAAATTAAACAGAACTATTCATATAATTAGAGGATACGGAATTACTTGGGTGGTTACCATCCTTTCAAACAAGGCAAATACTTGATTTAGAAATAAGCAATAGGCAGTAAAATTTCAGAGATTTCTTATAGCAATATTTTTGCTGATGTATCTCCTTGAGCAAGGAAAAAAAGGAGGAAATAAACAAGTGGGATTACATCAAACTAAAAAGCTTTTGTATAGCAAAAAAAAAAAATCAACAAAATGAAAAGGTAAACTATGGAATGGGGGAACATTTTTGCTAATGACATATCTGATAAGGGGTTAATTTCTAAAACATAAAAATAACTTATACCAAAAAAAAGAACTTATAAACTCAACACAAAGAAAATGCAATTTAAAAATGGGCAAAGAACCTGAATAGACACTTCTCCAAAGAGGACATACTAGTAGAGATGGCCATTAGACATATGAAAAAATGCTCAGTGTCACTAATCATCAGAGAAATGCAAATTAAAATCACAATGAGATATTATCTCATGCCAATCAGAATGTCTGTTATCAATAAATCAACAAACAGCAAGTGCTGGAGAGGATGTGGAGAAAAGGGAACCCTAGTACACTGCTGGTGGGAATGCAGACAGGTGCAGCTTGTGTGGAAAACAGTATGGAGTTTCCTCAAAAAATTAAAAATGGAACTGACTTTTGACCCAGCAATCCCATTTCTGGGAATATATCCAAAAACAACAAAAACACTCATTTGAAAGAATATATGCACCCCTATGTTCATTGAAGCATTATTTACAACTAGAGGCCCGGTGCACAAAAATTTATGTACTTGGGGGGGGGGGTCCCTTCAGCCCGGCCTGTGCCCTCTCCCAGTCTGGGACCTCTCGGGGGATGACCACCTGCCGGTTTAGGCCCGCTCCTCTGGGGAGTGGGCCTAAGCTGGCAATCAGACATCCCTCTGGCAGCCCAGGAGCCCTGGGGGGATGTCCACTTGCCAGCAGGAAGTAGGCCTAAGCTGCAGTCTGACATCCTTAGTGCTGCTGAGGAGGCAGGAGAGGCTCCCACCACCACCACTGTACTGGCAGCCATCAGCCTGGCTTGTGGCTGAGCAGAGCTCCCCCTGTGGGAGCACACTGACCACCAGGGGGCAGCTCCTGCATTGAGCATCTGCCCCCTGGTGGTCAGTGTGTGTCATAGTGACCAGTCATTCCCAGTCTTTCTGCTGTTAGGGTCAGTTTGCATATTACCCTTTTATTATATAGGATAGAGGCCTGGTGCACGGGTGGGGGCTGGCTGGTTTGCTCTGAAGGGTGTCCCAGATCAGGGTGGGGGGTCCTGCTGGGGTGCCTGGCCAGCCTGGGTGAGGGGCTGATGGGTGTTTGCAGGCTGATCACACCCCCTTCCGGGTGGGGGTCCCCACTGGGGTGCCTGGCCAGCCTGGTTGAGGGGCTGATGGCTGTTTGCAGGCTGGTCAAGCCTCCCTCCCAGTGGTGACCCTCACCCCATGGAGGTTTGGCCAGCCTGGGTGAGGGGCTGATGGCTGTTTTCAGGCTGGCGACACCCCCTTTAGGGTTGGGGGGGTCCCCACTGGGTGCCTGGCCAGTCTGGTTGAGGGGCTGAGGGCCATTTTTAGGCTGGCCAAACCCCCCTGGTGACGGAAGCTCCCAGTCTCTCCTTTTTTTCTTTTTCTTTTTTATTCTGGGATTTATTTACCTTCTATAATTGAAACTTTGTTGCCTTCAGTGGAGCTCAGAGCCGGCCACGACAGGCGGGAAGCTTGGCTTCCTCCATCAGTGGGGCAACCAAGCCTCCTGCTTGCTCCAGCTCCGTGGCTGCCGGCCGCCATCTTGGTTGGGTTAATTTGCATATAGTCGCTCAGATTGGCTGGTGGGTATGGCTTAAGGCATAGCGAAGGTATGGTCAATTTGCATGTTTGTCTTTTATTAGATTAGATAGCTAAGATCTGGAAACAACTCAAGTGTCCATGAATAGATGAGTAAATAATGGTATATTTTGGTATATTTATACAGTGGACTACTACTCAGGCTTATAAAAGAAGGAAATTTTGCCTTTTGTGACACCAGGGATGGACCTGGAGATTTTTATGCTAAGTGAAATAAGCCAGTCAGAGAAAGACAAATAACATATGATCTCACTTATATGTGGACTCTAATGAACAAAATAAATTGGGTCCTTCACAAAATAGAAACAGAGGCATGGATACATCGAACAGGCTGACAATTGTCAGAGGGAAGGTGGATTGGGGGGCTGGATGAAAAAAGGTGAAGGGATTAAGCAAATATCCTATATAATAAAAGCCTAATATGCTAAGTGTCTGGTCATCTGGTCGTCTGTTCAACCAATCAAAGCGTAATATGCTAATGATATGCTAAGGCCTGCAGGATCGGGCCGAAACCGGCTCTCCGACATCCCCTGAGGGGCACTGGATTTGCTAGAGGGCTGAACCGCTGGCTATGATGTGCACTGACCATCAGGGGGCAGACAGTCGACCAGTTGCTATGACGTGCACTGACCACCAGGGAGCAGATGCTCCAACCGGTAGGTTAGCTTGCTGCTGGGGTCCAGCGGATCGGGACTGAGACAGGCAGGACACGCCCTGGAAACCTCCTGTGGTCCCTCCCTGGCTGGCCAACCTCCTGCGTCCCTCCCTGGCCCTGATCGTGCACCAATGGGGTCCCTCGACCTGGCCTGCACCCTCTCGCATATCCAGTGCCCCTTGGGGGATGTTGGAAAGCCAGTTTCAGCCCAATCCCACAGGCCGGGCTGTGGGACCCCACTGGTGCATGAAGTCGTGCACTGGGTCTCTAGTATGTATGTATGTGTACACACACACACAGAGACAACAGTGTGCTGATAGCCAGAGGGGAAAGGGGATAGAGGGTAAGTGGAGGTGGGCAAAGGGGGGATAAATGGGGATGGAAAGAGACTTTACTTTGGGTGATAGGTGCACGATGCAGTGTGCAGATAATGTTTTGTTGAGTTGTATACTTGAAACCTGTATGGTTTTGTGAACCAATGTCACCTCAATAACTTCAATTTAAAAAAAAACAAATGTTCTCTGAAGATGTATATGGCCACCCTGCTCATCATTAGGGACTAGGAACCTGTTACCCAGGAAGAAGCTCCATCGAGCCGTGGCCTCAGAAATGTACCCCTCAGAGCACTGAGGTTTGGCTTGTCAGAGGGCACATGTTAAGAACAGAAGGCTGACAAAAGTTACCAGCTCATCTGCATTGGCATGCTTTTGTTTTTACCTCCCCACTGCCTGGGAGCATCTCTCAGGGAGGAATCAGGTCAATTGCACCACACATACAGCTGTTCTGATGAGAAAAGTTTTATATGGACACCACCATCTGAACAACAGCACCATAAATAAGGAGGGAAGCACAGGCTCATCCAAAAAAGCTGCTACAAGTAGCAAGCAGGGAACCATTCAAGCAGTGGTATCAAATACCAAAACCATATTTGCAAGTCTAATTTGGAACTTAGCCCTTTATAAGTGCAGGAGGAAGTTAGGGGAGAAACCACTAGTGAAATTTAAACACACACACGCACACACGCACACGCACACGCACACACACACACGCACACATACACACACACACACACACACACAGAAAAACACCCACCTTTTCACATTTCTTTTGTCCATTTGCCCCACAAGGAACAAATCAAAGGAAAAGCACAGGCTCTTTTGCTAAAGTCCTCACATTTATTATGGACTTACAGAAGCCCCAAATGGGGCTTGGATTTAAGGAGGAAGACTTCACTTTCCTTGGCCCCACTCACCCCTGACAAGTTACCCAGGGAATGCTTGGGACACAGGTAGGAAAATCCAGAAGAGGCAAGGATAAATATGGCTCACTTAACTTAAACATAATACACAAGGGCATCAGCTGCTCCAAATACATTTACATCTGGGTCCTTCACTAGATTCTCAGTAGACTTCTCACTTGCACCACCACAGCTCAAGCAAGCTGTATGTCTCACAGACTGAGACATACAGGAAACTGGTATTTTGATGTAGCGTGCGCTGGGTCAGTCACTTCATCCAAGACAGACACACATTCCAGCCCCAAGCAAGTCCTCGGGTACCCACAGCTGTTTGCTTTGTGGAGTGGAAGGTTGGGCTTTGCCCCTCCAGTTTTCTCCTTGCTGATACTGCCACTGAGCTCCCCACTGTTCGCTCTGGACTCAAAACAGCTGCTCCACACAAGCGTGTGTGTGTGTGTGTGTGTGTACCTGTCTATCTGTGTCTGTCTGTCTACTTGTAATTTATTGTTCCGCTGCCGCTGGCTCGTCCCCAGCCACTGGCTTCTCCACCTGTGACTCTGGAGGAATCAGATACTGGACCTCCTCTGTACTGATGGCCACCTTATCTGGCTGGAGCCACCTCTTGAAATGTTCCAAGGTGCTAGAAAAAAGCAAGAGAAAAGGGTGACTGCATCAGACCTGGATGGTTAATTACTTAATGGTTATCTCAGTTACTCAAGCACTGCCTTCCCACCCACAACCAATTTCTTCCTACAATTGTTTTTCACTGCTAACGTGGGGAGAAGACGATACTCCTCTGACAGCTGTGCATCCTGGCAGCTCCCAGGCATAATTTACCCCCTGGTGGGCCCTTTGGCTGTAAGTAGCATCGGGAACCCCTTGGAATGCAGAGCCTCTGAGGCTTGATGAGAACAGCTGGAGAGCTAATGCCTCAGTCCTGTCTTTTTGTTTCCCCTCAAAAGAGGAGAGAAACTGTCAAGAGGAGAAAACATTCAAATAAATACCAAATTATTAGTGAGGCAAAAACCTGAGCGTCTTGGAATGTCAGACCTGAGACAGTCTGAGAATCAATGATGCTTGGTTGCACTGAGAGCAATTCTGCTTGTTTGTGTGCTTTTTGATTGTTTAGTCCACCCTACAACAAATCCCCAAGATGGAAACACTTGAACAGCAATGTCCCCATAAAGGAACGGCCACCAAGCCAGAAGGCCCTTTTTGGTCTGGATCTGTGGGGAAGGGAGGAGTGGTCTCCCCCCCACCTTCCTTAAGTACACAGGATTCTCACTCTACAGCCATCAGACATTCACAGTAAAATATAAATGACCAGAAATAATGTTAACCACATTCTATGCTCTTCAACAGCACAAAGTCTTAAGCCAAAAAATAAAGCCATAACCAGCAGATTTAAGACACCTGTCAGGGATGGGGATTCGTGTTGTGCACAGTTGGATTGCTCGGCCATGACTCCCTTGCCAAAAGCATGAAGAGGGTGGCCTTCCTGGCCATCATGTAGGTGAAGAACCACACAATCCCCTACAAAATGGCCTCTGTTTAAAACAAACTTTGAAGTTTGAAAACAAATGCATATATACTGTGCTCTGAACGATATAAGCTTTCCCACCGATGTAGGCTTGGGGGAGCAACAGCCCAGCTCAGGGGACTCAGATGCTGCACAGGCATTTAATCTTCACCTACCACACTTTTCATAGAATTATTTCAATTATTTCTTTTTTAAAATATATTTTTATTGATTTCAGAGAGGAAGGGAGAGGAAGGGAGAGGAAGAGAGCGCTAGAAACATCAATAATGCAAGAGAACCATTGATTGGTCACCTCCTGCACGCCCCCCTATTGGGGATTAAGCCCGCAAACCAGGCATGTGCCTTGACCAGGAATCGAACCGTGACCTCCTGGTCAACCCTCAACCACTGAGCCATGCCAGCCGGGCTCAATTATTTCTATAGAGAAGGGAAAACTACATTATTTCAGCTATTGATAAATACACAGAAATGTTAACAAGCCTTGGTGCTGATCTGATTTCAAAGAAAAAGAATTCTTAGTTGAGATTTGGCAGGAGAAAGTTTTATCTTTTCTTCTTAGAGCTGGAAAGGAAGGAAATATTCAAGGGGAGAGAAAACACCAAATTATTAGTGAGTCAGGAATCTGTGTATTTTCAAGTCTTTTGTATTTGGGGCAGTTTAAAGCTCAATTGGATTGAGCCTTTAAATACAGAAAAGAGCAAAATTTGTATTATTTTTCTGAACCTGAAAAGGTAGCTGGCCTGACCTTGGATGCCACACCGATTTCTGAAGGATCTCGGGGAATGCTGATTTGGTATTTAAGATAATGTAAGTGAAGCTACTTTGCAAATTAAAAAATAAAACGTATGGAGTTTTTATCACATATTGCCCACAATTTCAGCAGCAATATCTTCATCTGACACAATGGGATTCTCAAAATCAATGTTAAAGATATGTTGTAAACTTAGATTAAGTCATATTCCCCTCAGGACCTTCTGTTAAAATTGAGGTTGTTATTCCTCTCACTGATCTTATTTTGACTAAGTTGTTACTGAACTTTAAAATTCTGTTAGTGCCCTGGCCGGTGTGGCTCCATTGGTTGGACGTCGTCCCATGTACCAAAGGCTGCTGGTTCAATTCCTGGTCAAGGGCACATGCCCCAGGAGTGGGCTCAATCACAGTAAGGGGGCGTGCAGGATGCAGCTGATCCATACTGTGCTCTCACATCCATCGATGCTTCTCTCTCCCTCTCTTTCCCTCTTTCTCTAAAAATCAATAAACTAGTCTTTAAAAATAAATAAATAAATAAGATTCTGTTAGGAAGAATAACTCATTAAACCTTCACCATAACCTTATGAGGTTTCCTGTGCTTCACAGAGGAGGAAACTGAGGCACACACAGCTTACTCACCGAAGAACATACCACCACTGAGTGGCAGAGCCATTTTCCCGGTGTCACGCATTCCCTGCCTTGTGGCAGAATGCTCTCTCCCCTTTCTGCATCGGGCCCACCTGCAGGTACTGTTCACATCCTGCCTCCTCCCTTGGCACAAACACCAGAGCCCAACTCCTAAAGCATGTTCTGTCGCTTCTTCTCACCCGGCTCTTCTCTCATGCTGCCTCATATTATTAGGTACGTCTTTATACCTATGTGTCATCTCTCCCCAACTAGTTACAAGGACAAAAGAAGAGGGTGTTAAACTTCCTTACATCTCCCCTCCACCAGGACACCAGGCACAGTGCCTTCACTCAGTAGATGCTTAAGAAAATCATTCATTTAGTCTACACACATTTGAGAGGCTACAAAATGACAGAAACTCTGTAAGGCAACAGAGATTCGGAGGTAAGAAGACATATTTCCAGTTGTTGACTGATTACTACTTTCTCAAGTGCTTTATGTACATGCACTTAAAAATGCAGACAATGGCCCTGGCCAGGTGGCTCAGTTGGTTGGAGCATCATCCTCTACACCAAAAAGGTTGCGGGTTTGATGCCAGATCAGGGCACATACCTAGGGTGCGGGTTTAATTCCTAGTTGGGGTATGTATGGGAGGCAACTGATTGTTTCTCTCTCTCTTCCTTCCTCTCTCTCCGAGAATCAATAAAAAATATATCCTAGGGTGAGGGTAAAAAAATTTTTTTAAAAAAGGGGCAATGGTTCATACTCAACTACATCCAATCTGTGATCAAGATGTGGCTGGAGTATTTGCCTTTTGGCAAAAATACCCTTTCTCAAAAATCTGCTGCTGTACTAAGAGTAAATAGAGCAAATTGACAAAGGATGATTTTAACTCAGAAACGCTGATGTTGATACCAACTAATATCTCAACTCAGATGCCACTCTCCCTGAATTCTTTAGAGAAAAAGAAATGCCCACAGTAAAACAGACTGTCACCTAGAACTGGCCTGGGAATCAATTACCTCTCATCAGAATCAAGTCCATCCACGAAGAACTCTGATGCTAACTTTTCCTGGAGAAACCGATCCCAGCATTCCTTCTTGGCTTGGGCCAGGGTTCGAAGCATGTCCTTAGAAGTCACTTCCTGATTTAAACCTTTGATTCTTCTCAGTTTATTCTCTAAAGAGAGAAGAAATGGAGCTTAACAAGGAAGGTGATATGAAATGAAACTAAATTTTAACTGCAAATGCCAACTTCAAAAATTCTCTGACTGATGAGTACATCCACACTCTCTACAAAAAAAAAAAAAATACCTAATTTTTTAAGGAGGGCAGCTAAAGAGAAATGTACAATTTTCCTTTTCCTGTACAATGTTTTCACTCTACATTGCACCAAATAAATGTTTAACCCCAGAAAAGGGAAAAGCCATACGTTCTCATAATAAATTGATGGCATGTTTTCTTTGAAGTCACAGAAGCCCAGCAGGTATCTCTCTAAGGAATGCTTGTTTTCCCTGGCTTGACATGTGTATACTATCATCTTTTTTTAACTCCTTGAAAACAGTCTCTCTGAGGAGTAAATGGTTTTTCTTTTTGTTACAGTGACATAAAGTGGTTGCCAAACCTCATGAGAAAGACTTAGAGAAAATGATGAGAGATCCAATGGTTCATTAGACATTAAAATTGACTTGATAAGAACTCAATAAGAGACTCGTAAGATTTCTATGTGTGATTAAATTCTTGATTAAAGAGAAGGAATCTCCCAACATTTTTTAAAGTTGCTCAACTTCGGGCCTGGATGTTGGAGCCTAATAAAAACAAACATCTTGTAATCTCTTTGAGAGTGGTCCATATGGCTTCCTGATGATAGATGTTTAATTACTCTTATTTGCATTTTAAGTGGAACTGTTGAGAATAGATATCCCCTTTTGAAGAATACAAGAGAGGGTATCACCATGTACCTTCTGCCTTTGTTTAGTCTTGCCTTCAACTATAATAAATGGGTAAATGATAGCTTTTGGTGATGGTGAACATCAAGCCCAGAACCAATGGAAACTTTATGATTTACAATCCTGTGTTCATTTCTAAACTAGAGGCCCAATGCATGAAAATTCATGCAAGAATAGGCCTTCCTTCCCCCGGCTGCCAGCACCAGCTTCCCTCCGGCACCTGGGACCCAGGCTTCCCTCCTCCGGCCATAGGCAGGCACCCAGAACCTGGGCTGGCTTCCCTCCAGCCCCGGCTTCGTCAGGAAGGACATCCAGAATGACGTCCAGAAGGACATATGGTCTAATTAGCATATTACCCTTTTATTATTATAGATAAGCCACATCAGCTAGCATCCACTGATTAAAACAATAAGTACCTTCTGTTGATGCAAGTTACCTCCAAGCGCTCACCCATGTAGAACACCTGTAAAATATTTGAGGAAATTTTTTCTCCTTGAGGATATGAAAAGAATTATGTATATCTCATGTTGAACTGACTAAGGTTTAATTGGTGATCTTAGTGAATTATCTTTGATACAGTTTATTTGGCAATAAAAACAATCTTTATAGCCCTAACTGGTTTGGCTCAGTGGATAGAGCGTCGGCCTGAGGACTGAAAGGTCCCAGGTTCGATTCTAGTCAAGGGCATGTACCTTGGTTGCGGGCACATCCCCAGTAGGTGGTGTGCGGGAGGCAACTGATCGATGTTTCTCTTCATCGATGTTTCTAACTCTCTATCCCTCTCCCTTCCTCTCTGTAAAAAATCAATAAAATACATTAAAAAAAACAAAACAAAAAAACAATCTTTATATTGTCTGTCCTTGGCTGTCAAGGTGGAAGGTGCTCTTTTGGGCTGGAAAAGGTCTTCCCCTCTCTGAGTGTGCTGAGTCCATGATCAGGTGTGACCTAAGTTGGGCAGGCAGAGGCAGGTGCCATTACATACTCCAAACCTGCCTGCCATTGTCTCCCAAACTCTGCCATAGGAGCCAGAAATGGTTCTTATTTTCCTCAGAGAAGGAAATTTTAATCATCATCTTATCTGATTTTAGAAAATATCAAGGGAATTTTAACTTTCTGAACCAATCAAAATTATCACTGAACCCATGAAAGCTTCTTTTATTTTGTCATAAAATATGGGTATTTTATTCCAGCTCTGGGAAATAAAAAACACATCCTTCCATACACCATTCTAATTTAGCTGACATTAATTACAAAAAGCTAAAGCACATATACCTGTGTATATGTATAAGTATTTATATATACACATACATGTTTCTTCAAATTTTAGTCTCATAAATGTTCACATAGTCACTCTATTGTTTGCTGTTTTTATAAACACCCTTGAAAGTCATCAAATGCATCCTAATACTACTGCCTCTTCACTAATCACTTAATAGTATTTGAATTATATTTGCTGTGTGTGTTTTAAACATTTATGTGATTGGCCAAACTATCCATTAGAAGATGTAAAGGATAAACTTGCTTTAAGTTGTACTCTATGTGTCACAGTTACTTATTACATGATCTTTTCCGTCATTATTTGGAACTTCACACATCCGTAGTTCTCTATTAGACTAGTTCAGCTTCTGCTGCTGTACATATCTACACCTTCTAGAGGGGACTGCTTGTGACCCATGATCCATGTCAGGCATGAACTGTGTAGCACCTGAGGTGAATTCTGATTTGGTCTTTGTTTCAGAGCTGAGTTCTGTTGGCAAAGAAACGGAATGTTTCAAGTCGTGAGTTGTTTTTACAGGTATTTCTATTTCAGTAGAGCTTCCTAGCTTTGTTTTTTCTTTAGGTTCAGGAAGTGATTCTTTTTTGGTGTTTTTGTTTGTTTGTTTTCCATAATGATTTACCTGCTTCACAAATTTTCTAGCTTGTACCATATGCCTTTTTTTCTAGTTACCTTTGCAATTGTTACGGACTGAACTGATAAACAGTTGCTCCTAAAGTGGTCCGTCCCAGTGGAGAACTAATTTTCTTAAATCTAGAACCTTTTCTTGCTGAAACCAAGCCTGCCAATCCTGAAACTAATTAGTCCAGTTTTCAGAAGAAAATTCCGTGGTGGATTCAAGATAAACATATGCCTCTTTTCCAAATTGTACTGTATCCATTATCTCATTTTCCACAAGGACATAAACACCCTTGCACCAGCCAGTATAAGGACCAGCTGCAGTGTGGATGAAGCCAAAGCCCACTTGTAAATTACCAGGCTGCTCTTCAACATACTTAGACTGGAGAGGTGGTTTCACTAGCTCCTTTTTGGATCCCTCTTCTCTGGCTGCATGCGCACATATAAATGCAGACATCAGACTTGCAGGTATAATTGTCAGCTTTCCCATCCTAACAGCCACCATGTCCGTAACCCATGAAAGTTTCTTATAACCCTTGGGCACAGAGCACCAACAAGCCAAAGGATCTGGTTTTTAGTTTTCTCAGAATGTTGGTTCTTCTCCTTATCATCATTAAACAGATGTTCTGACTACCACAAAACACAACTGCCAACCTCCTCAGCCATGGTCATAGCCTCTTTGGTGGCTTCCTGAGAATCTCACATTACACCCTCATCTTTCTCATTATCCATCACCCCACCTGTTTTTCTCATATCTTTTCCTCCAGTACACAGTTATCAAAATTCCTTTTGTTTTTCCAAGATATTTCTCAGCAATTATGTAAACTCTACTCTGTTCTTTCTATCCTTTCTTAAAAGCTTCTTCTTCCTGAATTGCCTTTCCTTCCTTAAACAATTATTCCTAGGTTTGGTTTTGTGACATGTAGATGGGTCTCATGAATGTTTAATAATAAAAATATACTACAATTTTAAAGCATGGCAATTACTGCCCTCCACTGATATTTCTTTCCCCTAGCCTGGAACAATCTGAATCTCTTTCTTGTATATTTCTTGTATATTTCTAAATACTTACACTGAAGGCCATAAGACAGGACTGTGAAGATGTGTTCAGGAAATATTAAAAAAATAAAATAGCTAACAAGAGGCAGAATGAATTTTATGTCAATATGCTCCCATTCCAACAATCAATCTATCTACTGTAACAGTTTTTCAAACTGTAGCATCATAAATCCACATGTAGCTCTAGGCCATGACCTTTTCTTTTAGGATAGCATAAGATTTGATATTTTTGAGTTATTTGAATATATGAGCCACCAATAGTAGGCAAGAAATAAAGCAGAATATTTTTTAATATATTTTTTTTATTGATTTCAAAGATGAAGGAAGAGGGAGAAAGAGAAACATGGATGATGAGAGATCAATAGGCTGCCTCCTGCATGCCCCCTTACTGGGGATCAAGCCCGCAACTGGGTATGTGCCCTTGACTGGAATTGAATCTGGGACCCTTCAGTCCCCAGGCCGATGTTCTATCCACTGAGCCAAACCAGCTAGGGCATAAAGCAGAATTTAGATATAACAGAGGTAAGAGATTGCAAAGATCATTTTAATCCCTATGTACAAGGAAAATGGGGTCCTTCCCACAACCAGCCTGAAACAACCCCTATACTACTTACACCTGACAGATACATGTGGTGAGGACAAAAAAAAATTTTTTTAAGAACAGAAAACCACCCTGGCTGATGTGGCTCAATGGTTAGACTGTCTGCCTGTGCACTGAAGGGTTTCAACTGGATTCCCAGTCAAGGGCATATACCTGGGTCTCAGGTTGGAGCCCCAGGCCCAGCTGGAGCCTGTGTGGGAGGCAACCAATTGATGTGTCTCTCATCTCAATGTCTCTCTCCTGATCTCTCCCTTCCTTCCACTCTCTCTAAAAATCAATGGAAAAAAATATCCTTGGGTGAGAATTTAAAAAAAGACCAGAAAACCAGGTTTAATGTAAAGGAACTTCAACAAGAATCTTTAAAACCATCAGTTTATGATTTTTTTTAAAAAGCCATCTCACTTACCTAAAGATGCTAAATACACTTCTGAATCCTGCAAGGGAGCCCAAGGCTTTATAGCTGGCTCAGTAGCAAAGTCCGGGGTCTCTCTCTGGCCTGTGCTTGCAGGATAAGAATCCATAAAGGAGTCTGAGAAGGCATTTTTGGCACCATCGTCTTGGTCAGGATTTGGCAAACAGGAACAGATTTCAGCCCAAAGATCCGGGCCAGATTTTGTAGCTGTAGAGTCAATGCTTTCAAACATTTTCATTTGGAATTTGAGCTGAAAAAACAGAAGCTCAAGTGAGCAAGGACTGGCGTTAAGGATACAGCGTAAGTATGTGGTATTCAGATATATGTTTACCCATTGAAGGTAATAGGCTTTTAAGAACTTTAACAAAACTTAAATTGTCTTCTATTAGGTTTCTGTGTTAGAGATAAAAAGATGACAAAAAGGTAATTGGGTTCCTCTTTTGGCTCTGCACTCAAGTTGTTTTCACAATGAAGTCTGTCTTCAAAACTGGAATTTCTACGCCCTACCCGTGGTTGGCAAACTGCGGCTCGCGAGCCACATGCGGCTCTTTGGCCCCTTGAGTGTGGTTCTTCCTAAGCCTTATGAGTACCCTAATTAAGTTAATAACAATGTACCTACCTATATAGTTTTAAGTTTAAAAAATTTGGCTCTCAAAAGAAATTTCAATCGTTGTACTGTTGATATTTGGCTCTGTTGACTAGTGAGTTTGCCGACCACTGCCCTAGCTGGATAAATGTCAGCCTGCAGACTGACGGGTCCCAGGTTCAATTCCTGTCAAGGGTATGTATCTTGGTTGCAGGCACATCCCCAGTGGGGGGTGTGCAGGAGGCAGCTGATTGATGTTTCTCTCTCTTTGATGTTTCTAACTATCTCTCTCCCTTCCTCTCTGTAAAAAAATCAATAAAATATATTTAAAAAATGGAATTTCTACAAGCCAGATACAAAAGGATAAATATTGGATGATGCCACTTATGTAAGGTGCCTAGTGCAGTCAAATTCATAGAGACAGAAAACTGAACAGTGGTTGCCAGGGGTTTTTGGAATGGGGGAATGGAAGTTATTGTTTAATGGGTACAGAGTTCCAGTTTGGGAAGTTCTAGAGATCGGTGGTGGTGATAGTTGCATAACAATGTGAAAGCCACTGAACTATATATCTACAAATGGTTAAAATGGCAAATTTTACTTTGGTATGTTTTAAAACACACACACACACACACACACACACACACACACACACGCATCCCACAGGTGGCGTGCACATTTCATGACATTTCCAGTGAAGACAATCAGCTTGCACTTTTCTCCAAAAAGCTCCCAGATTCAACAATTCTGTCCTCAGCTAATTAAATTCCGTTTTCAATAAGGCACTAAGGGCTTGCACAGTTCCATATGCACAAGGATAATAAAAGTGCTGCTTGGTGAAAAGTGTCTCTCAGAGAGCTCTGTCATATGCAAAGGCCCATTTGCTCATTAGAGGTAGAAGTTGAGCTTGTGTTATTTCAGTAGAAACACTAATAGACATTTTCATCATTGTGCAGATGAAGAATCTGTAGGATCTAAGGACCAGAAGGGTAATTACTGATATATGGTGAATACTGGATTGGAAACCAGACTGGTGCCGCTCCAAAATCCATATTTTTACCAGATATCATTCTGCCTGATTGGGAATATACTGAAAGTGGCCCTAGCAGAGGTAGGTCCTGGAGGCTTTCATAACTATCTAGTCTTACAGGATGGGCCTTTGAGACTAGGAAGGCTGCCAACAGAAAGGTTTGACTAATTCCAATTCTAGGAGAGCCCAACCAGCGCAAGGGCTCAGAAGTAAACGGGACAGGTACGTCTCGGCAGCCCTGAATGAACTAATGCCAGGGGGAGCAATGAACCTCCACCCCCAGTGGTTCTCAACCTTCTGGCCCTTTAAATACAGTTCCTCATGTTGTGACTCAACCATAAAATTATTTTCGTTGCTACTTCATAACTGTAATGTTGCTACTGTTATGAATCATAATGTAAATATCTGATATGCAGGATGGTCTTAGGCGACCCCTGTGAAAGGATCGTTCGACCGCCAAAGGGGTCGCGACCCACAGGTTGAGAACCGCTGGCAAACGCACCCACACCAAACATTGCCTCGCCCCGGAGCCCGGTCCCCCTCCGCTCCTAGGAAGTCCCGGACAGCGCAGGGAACTTGGGTGTCCAGACGGGCCTCCGTCCCTCCGGCCTCCAGGACGGGCTGGGCGGGATGAGTCAGGCTCCGAGGCCTCCCCGCGGCGTTCCAGGATGGGGCCGGCACCGCGGATACAAAATGCTGGGCCCCCCGCCCCGCCCCGCCCCACCTACCGCAACTGCCTGCCGGGCAGCCCGCAAACCCTCCGCTCCGCTCCGTGGCCGGCAGCCGGAAGAAATGGGGGGCGGAGCCTCCGAGTGACGGATCCAGGAAACCCTCCAACCACCGCCGACCTGGCGATGTTCTGTGCGTGGATAGGTCGCGTGGATAAGGAAGTGAGGAGCTGAGTGCAAGGAAGCGGGGGGGGGGGGGGGGGGGGGACGAGCCTGTTGCCGGGAAACGGCGGAGCCGCGTACCCCGGCTCCCGCTTTCTCCGGACTTGACTGATTGCGCCTATTCCTGCTGTTCCAGCCGCGCGGGCGGCGTCCTCCCGCATCCCCTGCTGGGACGAGGAAGCCCGGTTTCCAAGGCCTTTGACTTGGCGTGGTTCCCTGAGCAAGTTCACCTCTTCAGCAATTGCCTGGGCAGGTGTTTTTCAAAATTGTCAGCCCTTCGCTACCCAAGTTAGAGCACTTTGGAGCTTTAAAGGGGTAGGAGGAGACTTCGTCCCTTACAGGAGACCCTTGTCCCATTCATGTGATGACACTTTTCCTCATTCATTTAGTCAATAGCCAAATTCCTGCTGTGTTCTAAGCACTGTGTTAAGCGGGAATTCAAGGCAGATAGACTCGGTATGGGTCCCGGAGGTCTTCACAGCTTAGTGCAGTGGTTCTCAACCTTCCTAATGCTGCGACCCTTTAATACAGTTCCTCATGTTGTGGTGACCCCCAACCATAAAATTATTTTCGTTGCTACTTCATAACTGTAATTTTGCTACTGTTATGAATCATCATGTAAATATCTGATATTCAGGATGTATTTTCATTGTTACAAATTGAACATAATTAAAGCATAGTGATTAATCACAAAAACAATATGTAATTATATATGTTTTCCGATGGTCTTAGGTGACCCCTGTGAAAGGGTCATTCGACCCCTAAAGGGGTCGTGACCCACAGGTTGAGAACTGCTGGCTTAGTGTAAGAGGGTACATCATAGGGCAGACAACTTTACAAATAACAGCAAATAGTTATAGAGGATAGAACAGAAGTGTAGCCAGAGTACATAAAGGCGCGAGTGGTCTTGGGAGGTGTGTGTCAGAAACACTTTTTAAAAGGAAGTGAGGCACTGGCCGGTTGGGCTCTGTGGATAGAGCTTTGGCCTGTGGACTGAAGGGTCCCAGGTTCGATTCTGGTCAAGGGCACATGCCTGGGTTGCAGGCTCAATCCCCAGTAGGGGGTGTGCAGGAGGCAGCCAATTGATAGTTCTCTCTCATCATTGATGTTTTTATCTCTCCCTTCCTCTCTGAAAAAATAAATTTAAAATAAATAAAAGGAAGTGACCTTTGAGGGATTATCAGTAGACTGAGATGCAACTCTTCCTCGCCCCTACAACCTCAATTTCCAAAGCTAGTTACTCCTGAAAGAACGTGTGGAAAGACATTAGCCAACCATCAGTAGAAGTAACTTGGCTTATGATAGAGTGTCTAGATGTGTCCAAAGTAAATTAATGTGGCTATGGTGTTAATAACTACCAGTATGTGAAAGGAAACTACAAGGTCCTCTGTTGCTCACATTTATAACCATTCTTAGAATGTGCAAACAGAAGGAAGTGGAAAGCAAGGAGGTTACAAAAAAAGGAACTTAGAGCAGGCAAGATTTTGACAGCTTATCTACAGGGAATGAATCGGGGAGTGGAATCTCCCACTGAAGGATCCTGAGGCCTCCAACTACCATCCTATGTAACAGGAGTCTGGCAGCATCTGACTCACAGAATACATCTGTCTCATAGGCTTATGGATGCTTCATCAAACCACTCCATGGCCAGTACAGTGGGGCCTTGACTTACGAGTGTCCCGACTAACGAGTTTTTCGAGATACGAGCCGTCTCTGGGCCGATTTTTTGCTTTGAGTTGCGAGCTAAAATTCGGGTTACGAGCCAGCTTCAGATACCCCACTAGTGGGCGCAGCGGACGTCACAGTGAACGCCACAACATCAGCCCAGCATCACGTGTCATTGTAATGGTGAAAACTGATTTGACATATGAGTAATTTGAGTTACGAGCTCCGTCACGGAACGAATTAAACTCGTAAGTCAAGGCCCCACTGTATGGACTTTTTAATTATGTAAATTCTACCAATAGATGAACATGGCCTATTCTTCCACTTGTTTATATCTTCCTTCTATCTCTTTTTTCAGCGTTCGGTAATTTTCCCGCGTACTGGTCTTTTACCTCCTTGGTTAAGTTTATTCCTAAGTATTTTACTTTTTTTGTTACAATGGCAAATGGGATTGTTCTTTAAAATTTTATTTCTGAGAGTTCATTATTGGTGAATAAAAATACCGTTGATATCTGAGTGTTAATTTTGTATCCTGCTACACTGTTGAATTCATTTATTAAATCTAGTTTTTTGGTGGAATCTTTAGGACTTTCTATGTACAGTATCATGTCATCTGCAAATAATGACTGTTTTACATCCTCCTTTCCAATTTGGATGTCTTTTATTTTTTCTTCTTGTTTGATTGCTATAGCTAGGACTTCCAATATTATGTTGAATAAAAGTGGTGAAACTCTGTCTTGTTTCTGTTCTTAGGGGAAATGGTTTTAGTTTTTGCCCATTGAGTATGATTAAAATGACCTACTAGAATGGCCATCAATATATCAACAACTGCTAGCAAGTATGTGGAGTAAAAGGAACCCTACTACATTTTTTTCAACGTTCTGCTGGTGGGAATGGAAAACAGGCAGAGTTTCCAAAAAAAATTAAAAACGGAACTGCTATTTTACCCAGTGATCCCACTTCTAGAAATATATCTAAGAAGCCTGAAATACCAATCAGAAAGAAAATACCTACCCCTATTTCATAGCACCATTATTTACAATAGCTAAGATCTGGAAACAGCCTGAGTGCCCATCAGTAGATGAGTGGATAAAAAAGCTGTGGTACACTTACCCAATGGAATACTATACAGCTGTAAAAAAGAGGGATTTCAGATGGACCTGGAGAGAATTATGCTGAGTGAAATAAGCTAGTCGGAATAAGACATATATTACAATGACCTCATTATATGTGGAATCGAATGAATAAAACAAACTGACAAACAAAATACACATAGATCCAGAGACATGAAAGCATGCACCACACGGACGAATCTCAGAGGGAAAGAGGTAGGGGGAGGAAGACATTAACTGAAGAACTTACATGCATATATGCATAACTCATGGACACAGACAATAGTGGGGTGAAGGCCTGGGGAGGGGGCGGGAGTGGGGAGGAAGGGGTCAATGGGGGGGGGGGAAACAGGGGACATGTATAATACTTTCAGCCATAAAGATAAAGAAAAACAAAACTACTCCATGGTCTCTCGACTCACTTATGTCCTTTTCTCTGATTTCCTGCTCACCAAACAAACTTGGCTATTTACAATAGCCAAGATATGGACGCAACCTAAGTGTTTACCCATAGGTGAGTGGATAACGAAGATGTGGTATATAAATACAGTAACACTACACTGCCACTGCAGCTGGCACGGCTGACTGGGAACTGGGCACAAGCACCTCCGCCCCTGCGATCCCCCGAATCAGATGCCTCCAATTCTATCTTGTCAAACACGATGCTTGCTTCCTCTGCTGTGTGCCTCGGGTGCCAAAGGCTCTGCCTGCCCGATAGAGCCCAGAGGATACACCAATGTGCAAGATGCAAGGGACGCTGGGAAGAGCTCCATTCTTTGAAAGCATACAATACAATGCTTAGATATGCCTAGCATATTCGGAATTCAGCGCTCCGTTTTGTTTTAAAGTCTGTTTGTTTTCACTATGTTCCTTCCAGGAGCTTTTCCATAACCAAGGAACTCTGAGTATATCTACATGAATTCAATGCTTTTGGCGAGTCTCCCTCACAGCCTCTCAACTCGCCACGCCAGTCATTCAACTCACTTCCTCCCTTCGCTGTCCCCGTTGGGCCTCGCTGATTGGCTGGTGCTGAGTGACGTCTTCAGGTCGCGACCCAGCAGTGGCGCCCGCGTGGGTATGAGTCTGGGCGGCTGCAGGTGGCTCCGGGGTCTCGTGCCGCGGAGTTTGAGCCTCCCGTGCCGCAGCCTTGCCAGGACTTGGGGTGGCCGCGGAGGCCGGATGGCGGACATGCTCTCCACCGGGGCGGAGGCGGCGAGCGAGCGGAGGGCTCCGGCTCAGCTAAACGGAGACGCGGACGGCGACGCGAGGGTCGAGCAACCCCCAGGGCGCCCGGACCCGGCAGCCGCGGGAGTGGAGTTGGCCCCGGGGGTAGGGAAGCAGGTGGCGGGGAGCGAGGAGCAGGCCCCGGCTGCAGCGCCGGGCCCGGGCAAGCGCAAGAAGCGGCGGGGCGCGGCCGGGGAGCGCGTCGTGCCGCCCCCGAAGAAGCGGCGGGCAGGGGTGAGCTTCGGCGATGAGCACTTTGCAGAGACCAGCTACTACTTCGAGGGCGGCCTGCGCAAAGTGCGGCCCTATTACTTTGACTTCCGAACCTACTGCAAAGGCCGCTGGGTGGGCCGCAGCTTGCTGCACGTCTTCAGTACCGAGTTCCGAGCCCAGCCCTTGGCCTACTACGAGGCCGCGGTCCGAGCGGGGCGCCTGCGCCTCAACGAGGAGCCGGTCCAAGACCTCAGCATCGTGCTCAAGGTGGAGTCCTGATGGGCTGGTCTGAAGGGGGCAGGGATTCTTTTCCCTGAGTTAGTGGCCATAGGTACTGGAGTAAAATCGGGGTAATTCCGAGGCTTTCTCATTTTCACTTGAAACAGTCTCAAAGCCCTCTCCTCCCACCCCATCGCCGCAAGTAGCCTCAGTGCTTCAGAAACACTGTTTTCTTGTTTCCAAAGCATAGAAGTTGGAATTCTTGTGGCTCCTTTTATGCAATCTGTGCCACTGGCACGGACATTGATCACTTTCTATTTTGCATTGTGGATCTCTGTACAAATAGTATAGTAGAGCTATTTATGTCTCCTTACTGGGTACAGAGTTAGGCATTTTGAGAACTTTAATAACATTTAATTTTATCGATCGCCTTGTGGGGTAGGTATTGCCACCTCATTTTACCTGTGAGGAAACTAAATTAAGGTAAACCTCACAGAGGTAAGGCAACAGTGTCACCTCCAGAGCCTGTG